AAGTCTCAAGCTGGATGAAAGTTCAGTCATCAAATAAGATGAATTTCCTCAAGCTAAAAGAAAATTAAAAATGTATTTAATAACCTAAAGATCAACTTTATTAAATTTCTTTCCTAGATAAAACCTACACCGTGGACTATTTTCGTAATACTTTGATTGCATCAACCAATAAAAACGTAAAACACACATACAAACTGCAAGAAGAATTAAACGTGTAAACGCGATAGAAAAGTGCAGTGGTGATAAATTTGGCACAAAACGTTCATCTGCACCTGGCCTTCAAACATTTATTTAAAATTATTGTCTGTAATACTTCACATCAATAACAGGGAAGTGGATAATAAAACAATTTCTAGGAAAAAGCTTGTAATCATACACTGTCAGAAAAAGATTTAAACCGCAAATATATTAACAGCTGCATAACTGGTGATATATAAAAATGGCGATCATTAATTTTTGTCAAATATTCCTTCGGCTTTTACAATAAACCGTGCATTACACTTTGTTTTGCGAATTTACGTCATTAAAACGTACAAAAACGTCTCTGTACAAAAGTCAAATACGTTTTGTTCGTTATAACGTATGCAAAGTTTTTGTATACGTACTGTAACCTCTTCATTGTTACTTTATTGCTTAAATCCAATAAACTGACAAAATACATATTTGTAACCAAATATTTGCGAACAACAATATTGATTTAAGTTTAAATTTCCTGTAAATTCTGTGTGAAATGATCGACGTGATCTATCAGATTCGTTTTACACACAATTTTTGTATATAATAAAAATCAAATTTGTTGTTAATGCTTATTTAAAATAATCATAAAATAATAATAAGTATTATCGAGGTCGCCGTCCTGAATAACTTTTTTTCATAACGTAATTGTCCATCGTTATTTATTGCATAGTTATTAACAAAAGAATATTTGGAAAAATATTAATCTAAACTAACCTAACCTAAATGTTTTATAATTTATACTATTCATTCTCTGACATTCGTTTTTTATTATATTATAAAACATGTTAAGTCGGGTTAGAATACTATTCCGGTTAATTGACTTGAAATTCAAAATGATTGAAATCTGTTTAGCTTGATTTATAAATTCACCCGCTATACAAGTTGTCTCACAATTAGTGTAGGTCCCTGAAATAAAAGGTAGCTGACGCGATTCTGTATAAGATTTCCCTTTGCAAAAACGAGGTTTGAAACTTCGTTTTTGAATTATTAAGAAAAAACACGGACCAATCAGAGTGCGAGGATTACGCACGCTCAGCCACTAGGCTCGAAGCTGTCGCTTTCGCGTCTGCGCATGCGTAATCCTCGCGCTCTGATTGGTCCGTATTTTTTCTTAATAATTCAAAAACAAAGCTTTAATCCCCATTTTCGCAAAGGAAAATCTTATTCAGAATCACGTCAGCTACCACCCATTTCAAGGATCTACACTAATTGTGAAACATCCTGTATACTCCCCGATAGATCGCAAATACTAAACCATTGCCAAAATCAAGTTTTTCGTTGTCAGATTACGTACAAATTTTGATTTTTACAAATGATCAATAATTTTCTAATGAACAATGACAATTAAATTACAAGAAATATTACCCAGGATACAAATGATCAATAATTTTCTAATGAACAATGACAATTAAATTACAAGAAATATTACCCAGGAGCATGTTCTTAACCCTTTCATTCCGGGTGCCGCCTATAGGCGGCGGCCGCGCGACGGCCTGTGTGTACGGGTGTTATATGTAAATAACTGAATATTCATACAATATACTCATTTTCATGTTTTTCCAATAATACGATGAAACAGTTGTTATGTAGCTCTTAAAAAAGTGTATATACAAGACAATCACAAAGTGGCGTTGAAAAACGTTAGTCCGAATATCGAAGACTACTGACGAGCAAAGTGCACACTTCGCGGCACGGACTGCCGTAAGGAAAGGGTTAATGATACATATCAAGATCAAGGTCATTATGGCTGGATCCCTCTCTGTTAATATTTACAAAAATAATATAGATATCTAAAATATAAACGTAAACTTGAAAATATAAATGAAAATGTAAATGTAAATATTTGTAAAAGTATGCTTAGATTAAATTACCTTTTAACATCACCTTATTACATGATTTATGGATCAAATGATTTAAACAATTCTAAATAAAACATGACCTACATAATCTAATGAATGTGCAATATTACGGCACGACATTTTATGTATATGGATGTTACTCTTCCTGCATCATCACTTTTAATAAAAAGCTTATAACCTTGAATTATAAATCTTTTGTACTCATCAAAACTTTACTTCTCTTTAACGAGGACAACCTACCCTTAAAATACACAAGTTTCTTTTTAGCACCTTGTACATTATTAAGTGTTTGTATTATTAAATTTTGTATGAAACGAAATAATATTGTAATATCGTATTATTAAATCTTGTATAAAATCGTTCTTTACATAGTGCGATTTTATTCTTTTTGTACTATCTATTCTACTAATGACGAAGGCAGTTTTTTCAAGTAAACAGCTGACGTTTCTTTTTCTCAATGTGCTCGCTCCTTAACGAGAATGCGAAACAATACGCCTGACAATAAACGAAATATAAGAACGATACTGCTAGAGAGCGTCGGTATCACATATCATATGATCATACGACCAAAGCAGTTTCAGAAAATGCTGAAGATGATTCTGTGTCCACTATTTAAAGGGCTAGATATAGTAGGAATGAGTCGTAACGTTGAAACGTAAAAACTGCGAAGACATAATAAAGTTTCAAGAATGCAAAATTCGAAATTTAAGAATTCGTGATAAGGTGAAGTGGAGTAAGTGCAGACTAGTTTTTGTAAAGTTGGTATTTAAACATAAGTATTTTCAGTCTGCTTTGTAAATATTTAACGCTGTCGATATCGAACGCTTTGCACAATTACTACAATTTAATTAATATTAACTAGGACCTTAATTTTCCTTATACATTTTGATTTTGATAGGAAATTGTTTAAAATGTCAACTACTCTGCACTTTCCCCAAAAATGGGGTAATGGCGTAACTTGAAGTTAAATACTTTAAAACTTTATTTCATGTGCAATGGGGCAAGAGCAGAATTATTAACAAATTTGCTATAAAATGCTTTTTACTGCATTATGCAAGTACTATATACCGCAAACAAGTGCTCTTAGCTGAAATATAAAAGGGGATATAGTGAAACAAAACAAAGAAATAAACATAACAAATGGAGAAATTTCGTTCATATTGTAATAAAAATAGCTTGCATACGCACTTGCCCCGTCTACGAACTTACCCCACTTCACCTTATTAAAAATTTCTAAATTTTTAAATTTAAGATTCATGAAGTAGAAAATTTATAAATTCCATCATTTAGATAGATCGTGCTCATAACTTCAAAAAGAGCATGCATTCGTTCATTTTTATCGTAGCTACTCTTAAATTGAAAGTCTTCGATATAATGAATAAAATTATAATCCCGGGCACCATAGCGAGAACTTCGTTCGCAATTTCAATACGAAGTTCTGTTTACGATTAACAACTTTATATAGATAATATTTACACCTAAGTAACGCACCGTATGTACATGTAAGTATATCATATATTTATGTGAATAACAGTATCATGAAAGACATACTTCTTGACAAATGGTAACAAAGTTTCAATACATTGATTCAATACTGAAGTAAGCAGTTTCGAGACGAAAAATATCTTTACTGAAAATCTATTAAATTCTGATCAAAACTCCCTCCATTACAAGTCCATCTGGAAGTCTTATACCAAATCACAATAGAATAGAATATAGAACAATAGAAAGTTTGCGTTAAAATGCAATTCTCTGTACTGGACGTCGATAAGGATTTAAATCTGCCAATAATTCAATGGTCAGTATTAAATGAACCTATATCATATGTCTAAAATTATTAATGAAGGCAGCATATGAGAAGGAATTTTTCAGAACAGATGTTAATGCAGTATTCACTGTTACCTACAGGGTTTCTCAGCAGATGTTAATGCAGTTTTCACTGTTACCTACATTGCTTGGGCCAATGATCAAAGCAATCGAGGCCCTAATAAAATCAACAATAACAATCTACATTGTTTCTCAAGGAAAATTATTCTGTATGAACAACAAATATAGAACATAAGGTCGAAGTTAAAAATTCCACGATGACATTTCTTAAAACTTCAAATATGTATATTATAAAATGGAAAATTTATTTCCTTTATAAAATTCTTTATTAACATGCTCTCCTTAAAATTAACTTTATTATAACCCGAAATTCACACGATGGAACTATGGGTTAAAGCTAGTCATTAAATAAAAATAAATACACACAAAAGTATATACTTATATGTAAAACAATAATGCTATATAATTAAAAACCAAAAATTATGAATATTATACACATAGCCAACTCACTAAATATAAATATAACATTGAAATACAAAGAAACATATAAATATATACAACAGAAACAGAAACAGAATGAATACGCGAATAAGAACAGTTTATGATAATCTCTCATTGTTTTAACAACTGATATAGCGCTTAAATATTATTATCTGAAATAATACACGTGGCAAGTTCGATTTAACATAAACAAACATAAACGCGTTTAAAAATCAGTCATTTTTAACAGTCATTTGCACTTGTAGCATTTAATAAACGTTTTTTATAAATCTTTATGCACTGAATGTGGACAAAGAATTCGTTAGGCGCCTGCATTTTGTTTTTGAGATATATGATTTTAAAGAAAAATGCAAATTTTTATTTTTACAGTATTATATGCTCAAACATAATCATTTTTTACATTTTATATCAAATAATTCTTCAAATTCCCCTAACTAAAATAATAAAAGTGATTAATATATTATAAAAGTTTGTATACATATTACGTAAACAATAATGAAAATGGAAAGATCATACGAAATATATAAATCTTTGCAAATATTTTTCAGTTTATTTGGAAAACTAAAGAATATCTACAAAAATTAATGTCATTTACTTTTTGCCTTGAACATTCTTGAAATATATTCAAAGATTTATAACATATTATAACTATTACTGTTCCAATACAACATATCTTAAAAATTGAAGATTTTCATTTTCATTTTTTCAAAACAAAATTGCAGGCGTGGAAAGATTTTTAATTTTGTATTCAGCCCATAAAAATTAAAAAAAAACTCGTATCGGGTATCACAAATGCAAAGAATAAAAAATCTATAGGATAACATTATACTAAAAATATACAATGTTGTTGGATCATTCGACTAAAATATCGCGTCTCAAACTCAGCTTAACCTGTTTGAGAAAGAAAGAAGGAAAATCCCAGGAATTATACAAAAGTTATAACAATAAAAACAATAATAACAGTAATCGCGTTATAAATAATTTTTCTTATCGTAATAATCTATTATAGATTTTGCCTGAGTTCCAAGTTCTGGCTCTGTTACCATTATTTTACGTAAGGTATATAATAACCTATCAAGCTCCGTATCCTCTACTGGAGAAGGTGATCGTACAATGGAACAATCTTTGGTGTCTGCATCTTCCGTATTCATTTCATCTCTCTCGCATTCAATAATCCATTCATCGACCCTCTCAACAGAAATTAGCTCAAAGGATTGTTCAGTAATGGTTGCTATAAAATCACGTCTGGTTCCAACGATTAAGAATTTTCCCCCAAGATTGAAAAATATCGGTTGAGTTTATGCGACACCACGACTCGTGAATTAAATCTATACAATCCTTAATATCGTAATCAGCATAGAACTGTGCAATTCGTTCTTCATATTGCAATGCCTGTATGAAATAAATACGCACTTATAAGAGACATAATATCCAAAAAATATATTACAAGTACAGCTTTAGTTACATTATATTTACAACATACCCATCGGAGTAGTCTATGCCGAAATATTTTTTTGCACTTAGAAATCACGCCCTGTTCCATCGGTTGAATCAAAGAAGAAGTATTAGCCGGTAAAAGAATTAATTTAAACTGTCCATCGTCCATTTCTTCTTTGTTTAATTCGTGTGCCCCATAATTTTCCACTAACAACAGCACTCTACCGGGCTGGTGGCTTTGTATCTGCTGCTGCCTCACTTCTAGTTTAAATACATTCTCATACCAGTCACGAAAAATCCTATCGTTAACGCAACTATTAACGTAAGTTAGCATGATAATGTAGAGCCCGCGGATATTCGCGTTTATGGACGAAAAGTACTAGCAATTTATGACTTCCAGTCGCATTGGCACATAGTCCCACGGTCACCTTTTCTGATCTTACGCTTTTATCTTGCGCCTGTTTCTCCAACGTCATAGGTGGAAGCGCTCTCCAAAACAAACATGTCTCGTCCATGTTATACAAATTGTTTTCCAGGACATCTTCCTTCATCAATATTTGCGGCAATTCACGTTTGAAAGCCTCCAAAGCGGCGTGATCCATTTCAACAGTCCTTTCATCAGTATTCACAGAGCGTATGTAATCCCTCTTAAAACGCCACAGCCAACCCTTGCTTGCTACGAAATTCGACGGTCCACCACATTCCGTTTGCAATTCTTTCGTCTTTGACATTAGGGTACTATCGGTGATATGATTTCCCAATAATTTTTGTTGCACGAACCACTGATATAATCGCGTATCCAAGTCATTGTACGTGGGAATGCGTTGCCTCTTCCTATTCAATCGTGTAGGATTCTCTGCATATTGTCGGATTGCTGTAGAATTTTGCCTATGCCGGCGTATCGTTCGTTCTGTTACTCCATATTCGCTGGCAATTTCTTTAACACTGATACCGGTATCCAACTTCTCTAATATTACTAACTAGTCTGCAAAATTTATTTGTTTCAAGTTGGAAGTCATCGTGAAAAACGAAACGTGCAGGATACAAAAATATTTCTATATTTGTTGTATAAATAGTAGAAAAAACTCCGTTCTCATAGTCCGAACAAAAAATTCAGTAATCGATTAGTTTATAACTTCATAGCTCCTCGTTTTATCTCATTACTGTCGAAGATTTACATTCGAAAATGTAAAAATAAGCTGACTCTTCGCAAACGATACTTCTTTCATCTTGAGTTTACTACCTTCAAACATTGCACGTGTTGAATGTGAATCAAAGCGACCCTTGTGTCGATGATGTACAAGAACCCTGTTTCTTGGATTCAATAAAGAAATCCTGTGTCACCGAGAATGCTGATAGGGTACGGAGATCTTTACTACCTGTAAAGAAACAAAATTGCTGCGATAAAACGGATATCTAGATAAAAGATTTCTACAAAAACATGATAAACTTAATTTGTGTAATAGATTTTAAACATTAAAGGGATGTACTAATCTGGGTGGTTGGAAAACTATTTACAAATTTTTTTAGGAGAAACAGAGATATGTTGCTAAAGAAATTTGCTTTAGGAAAATTTTCGAGTACAGTTTCTATTTATTTTCACGAGGACTGCATTCATGTATGTTCATCTCACAAGGAACATCACCAAGGTGTTACACGCGGATTTTAATGAAAGTTACATATGTGGTAGCTTTTCAAAAATCATTTGACACGTATTTTTTTATATCTGCGGACATGCATGTTGAGGGGGTGAAAATAGCCCTCAAAGTTCGGGGTTGAAAACACATTTTCTTTAATATCTCGGAAACTAGAGGTTGTAAGAAGGTGAATTTTTTTTAAATTGTGTAGTTTTTAGTCAAGAATTTAGTTAGTGACAAAAATTTCGGGAGAAATTATTTATTTAAATAATATATTCAAAAATTGGATTTTTTTTCAATTTTTCAAGCTAAATGCAGTTCGATTTTTTTGCAGCTTTGTACACTAAAAATATGGATCAAAATAGGGGACACGTGTCTTTGGAATTTTTTGTTTATTGCAATTTAGCAATAATTATTACATATACAATTTTCTCTTACCTTTTACGGAGAAATGAATTGAGATTTGTTTTCGAAGAGGATGAGCCCTTTTTATACAATAATTTGTCACGTTTTTAACAATTGGACAATATCAGATGTTTATTGTTCCATCGGTAGCCACGGAAGGTCCAGCGGGCTGGTATCAATTCGTCGCGGTACCAATCGACGCTATACAGAACATAGGTTTCTATTGGCAATGAAACTTTTAGCCTCCGAAAACGTTGAAATGTATTTAATACACTACCTAACGAGTAAATAGGTTTCATTCATATCTGTTACGTAATTGTATGATTGAATGAAATAGAAATTACTTCAATAGGAAATAGAAATTATTTTATACTTTTTAGTGCATTTCGAAGTCGGCGTATTTTTTTTCTTAAAATTATTTTATTCGCTAATATCTCGAAAACTAAAGCTTTCCGCGAAATTTGTATATGAACAAAATTGTTCAGAATCATGTCCGTGATAAGATATTAAAAGCGCACTAAAATCGAGAAAAGTTTACTTCAAAAGTTGCCAGTTGTCTTGCAATAACAATACTTTGCAATTAAAAAATGAAAAATTTTTTGATAATGGTACCAATGGGAAGTCAGATGCAAAAGGCTTCGTCCCGATCGGTCCACCCAGCTAGGCGTAGGTGAACATACTTAGAAAAAAAAAAAAAAAAAGATCTGATCGAATTGAGTAACCTCCTCCTTTTTCGAAGTCGGTTACAAATATATAAAAATTGCAAGATTCAACGAGCTGTATTTTTTAAACAATTTTGCCTCTAGTTCTAATAATAATAAATATTTGTTATTATTAATATTATAACAAATTATATGTACACATATACATTTATTCATTTGTTGTTATGAGTAGTTTATAACAATATACATAATTACATATCCAGTATATGTATAGCATGTCTATACATTTTTACCAAATGGTAAATAATAAAACAACTTTTATTGTCTTTTATGGCGATTATGATACCGCGAATAGAAGAGTTTTCATTAAAAATCACCCAGATTATTTAAAAGTTGCTTTGCATTTTATAAATAAGGCGCCATATTTTTATTCTTACTTAGCGAGAAAACAAAAAAACTTACCAAAGTGCTACTTGCATGCGACCTTAAATGAATACATGATCATAATATGGAAGATATTATTTAAATAGATAAAGATCTCCTGCTCGTTTTGTTTATATTCAAAGTTACTAAACACTGCAGTATAATATTATGAAACATATATTTGTCATTTATTTGGGTACACTTACTTTAACACGTGAAAAACCATTTACCTTAAGCGAATATACAAACTACTGCAATGCTTCTGATAACATAATATTCGTGACAGTTCAACTTATAGTAAACAGTTTTTTTACTTGCTGAAGTGTACCTAAACAAATGGCTACCTTTTGTTTTCAAACAGAATATTGCAGTGTTTTCTAACTGGTGTGTAAACTTTGAACATACACTGTAAACGAAACGAGCAGAAAGATGTATTGATTCAAGGTCACTTACAAATATCCTGTTTTTGCTCTTTGATCAAATGGAAACAAAACCTGCCGGTTTTTTTGCAATAACAACACTTTGCAATTAAAAAATGAAAAATTTTTTGATAATGGTACCAATGGGAAGTCAGATGCAAAAGGCTTCGTCCCGATCGGTCCACCCAGCTAGGCGTAGGTGAACATACTTAGAAAAAAAAAAAAAAAAAGATCTGATCGAATTGAGTAACCTCCTCCTTTTTCGAAGTCGGTTACAAATATATAAAAATTGCAAGATTCAACGAGCTGTATTTTTTAAACAATTTTGCCTCTAGTTCTAATAATAATAAATATTTGTTATTATTAATATTATAACAAATTATATGTACACATATACATTTATTCATTTGTTGTTATGAGTAGTTTATAACAATATACATAATTACATATCCAGTATATGTATAGCATGTCTATACATTTTTACCAAATGGTAAATAATAAAACAACTTTTATTGTCTTTTATGGCGATTATGATACCGCGAATAGAAGAGTTTTCATTAAAAATCACCCAGATTATTTAAAAGTTGCTTTGCATTTTATAAATAAGGCGCCATATTTTTATTCTTACTTAGCGAGAAAACAAAAAAACTTACCAAAGTGCTACTTGCATGCGACCTTAAATGAATACATGATCATAATATGGAAGATATTATTTAAATAGATAAAGATCTCCTGCTCGTTTTGTTTATATTCAAAGTTACTAAACACTGCAGTATAATATTATGAAACATATATTTGTCATTTATTTGGGTACACTTACTTTAACACGTGAAAAACCATTTACCTTAAGCGAATATACAAACTACTGCAATGCTTCTGATAACATAATATTCGTGACAGTTCAACTTATAGTAAACAGTTTTTTTACTTGCTGAAGTGTACCTAAACAAATGGCTACCTTTTGTTTTCAAACAGAATATTGCAGTGTTTTCTAACTGGTGTGTAAACTTTGAACATACACTGTAAACGAAACGAGCAGAAAGATGTATTGATTCAAGGTCACTTACAAATATCCTGTTTTTGCTCTTTGATCAAATGGAAACAAAACCATAATTCTATTTAGAAAGTGCAAAACAATTTTGAAATAACTTTGAAAATTAAAACTATAAATTTTTATATATATTATGAAAATTTACATTAAAAAAAGAAAAACAAAAAAAATGTTCTTACATTTATATGTATTAGTATTTAAAAAGTATTTCGAACCGCAGAAATTTGATTTTTTGTGTATATAAATAACGCGTTTCTTGTATGTACTTTGCAATATACACGAAACATTATGACGTCCATCACAACGGACGTCATTAAACGCTCATGCGTTTATAATCGATAAGAGAGTCAACGTCCGCCGTAACATGCATTAGAAACACAATGCAAATTTCATACATACTCTATCATATAAAACAGTAATGTTTCCTATTGAAATTGAAAATATTTTTATAATAAACGTTATGGCGTCCATCACAATGAACATTATGGCATCTATCGCAACGGACGTTACGACGTCC